CAGCCCTTATTTGATTGTGAGGGTGGTGATGGATGACGCTGGACAGGATACTTGAAGGTTCATGGGACTTAGTAACTACTTATCACTTTATCACTGGGCTTATAACCCTACTTATAACCCCCCTAAATGGCCTTAAAGGGGTTACCCCAATTATAAATAGGGTTATAACCCCAGTTACAAATAGTTACTAAGTCCCATGAACCTCCAAGTACGGATGACAAATGCACCCAGACCCTGGGCTCCAAGCCCTCGCTCAGCCCAAATCCGCCCCAAACCCATCTAGAACCTCCCAGGTAGTACAATTTTTTGGAGGGTTCCTAATATCTATATATATTTATATATTTGTAGAAATATGCTAAAAATATTGTATAATAAGAATAGACCATATCAAGCCTGAATTCGGAACTGTCTTGGAGAATCCAGGGGCGCGCTATGACCCCAAACCCGAACCGGGGTTTAGGGTTTAGGGTTTAAGGTTTGGTGGCAAGCCGCAGCAGCAAGCGCTCCTACGACGTCCACCTTGCCCTTGTGTAGCCTGACGTTGGGATCAAGTGGTGTGCCATTGCAGCGTGGGCATATGCAACGCTAGAACCCCCTTCTTACTGCGACCTTGCTGTCAGGAAACACCTCCCTGGAAGGTACTACCAGTACCTGCAAAGCCAAGTTGCCCAAACTCATGGACCACTATACCCGTAACCTAAATTCTAGGGGTTTAGGGTTTAAGGAGTTCATGGCAGGACTTACACTTACAATGTAGGGTAGACTGCAGCTGAAGATTTCGTGCGATTACGGTCAGCCAAGGCTTGAGATTGGAAGTCCATCATAAAGGCCCATACAGCTGTACTCTACACATCAAAAAGTATGTAGGACAATTGCCTTGTTGGCTATCTTCAATGGTTTCGGTCCATTTTGTTGCCTAATTTGAGGTCCTTAGCACAGACTGCCCCACCTGAGAATAGCCCTACTAAATCCGCAGAAGAAAGCAAGCTTTGCTCGCTACGCCCAGAATCAGTATCGAACACCCCTGCGCCTGGCCATGTTACCCTAAGGGTTCAAATACCTAATCATCATATTCTTACCCCAAACCTGTACTATAATTACTAGACCCTAAACCCAAGTCCCTAATCATGGATTACTTGGAATGTCAGAATCTGAAAGTAAGCAAGTTTGGTACCACCCTACACCCGGAACTGCTATGTAAACTAAACCCTAAACCCTAAACCCTAAACCGTTTGCAGCGAGGTCTGGCTAGATCTTGAGGATTTAGGGGGTCAGGGAGTTTGAGGTTTAGGGCGCCTAAACCCTAAACCCGTTAGGAACGCTCAAAACCCTGCATCCAACCACTCCATACCCAAATCAGTTGAATCTCCAAAGGTGGGGGGTTTAGGGCTTAGGATTTAGGGTTTAGGGCTTAGGTTAGAGTTCAAAGTTTTCTGAAATAGGATTTATAGAGCTATATTACCCTAAGAATGGAGCCTAAACCCTAAACCGTAAGAATATCATGGACAAAGCAAATGGACAATGACATGGACACTGGGCGCTTACGCGACTTTTTCGTCAATAGGGGAGGCATGGATGCCTTTGGTTCCCCTTAAGTAGATAGAATATGGTATATGGGGATCTTATTACAGCAATTATACACAAAGTCGTATTCTGTCTGCTTCAGGGGGACAATTTTACTCTACTAGCTCCACTCTCATCTCTAGCCGGGAAGTCGTGTCCATTGTCTGTTCGATTCCTTCATTCCATACCCCCAGCCCTATATGCCCTTCAAACCCTGAGCCCAAAGCCCTAGAACCTTAGCCCTATGCCCAAAAACCCGAGGCGGCAGGGTGCCTTGTCTTGTAATCGCGGTTTAGGGTCCAGTGTTGAGGGTGCTTCTTCATTCCCTGGCTGCAGTGTGTACATTCACAAGTACATGAATATATATATATAGTGTATATATATATGTATGTATATATATATACTTACTCATAGAGTTCTAGGTGTATCTGCACACATACTTTGGCTCAACGTGAATACTACTTGGGGTACTTAGACCCTGAAGGTCTCTAGTGCCACAAGTCCATGCGTAATGGAGTGGTGCACGCCATTCATGTGCAAGACTGGGGCACTTGGTGCTCATAAGTAGATCTGCCGCAACAACCCTGAATCCTAGAACCTAACCAAAAACCCTAAACCCTAAACCTTTAACAACACATCTTATTCATTTGCAACCCTAAACGCCTGCCCCGCTACCCACTCACTCATTTACTGCACCTCTGGAGATAGCCTGACACTCTAAACCCTGAACACCTAAACCGTCAAATCCCTAAATGCCTGAAACTGAATTCCTAACCCCGAATCCATAAATCCTTGCAAGGTCACATCCTGAGTAACTTTGAAGCCTGACTAGTGACCGATGTCATTTGAGGTCTAGTTTACGTACTCTTTACCGTAGTCATACAAGGAATCTAGGACTATCACATTTTCCCCATCCCCATCTAAACCCCGCATAACATTGCACTGTCCATCTGTTTATTCATTATTGAGGTTGTAAGCCCAGTGTATGCCGACATCGCCCCTAAACCCTGAACATTAAATCCTAAACCCTAGACCCAAAACTCGAAAGCCCTAAATCCTAAAACCTAAGCCCGAAACCCCTGAATCATCACTGAACCCTAAATCCGAAATCCTAAAAAACCCAACATCCTAAGCCGCTAAACCCATAAACCCCTGTAGGGTTTAGGGTTTAGGGTTTAGGGTTTAAGGGGTAAGGGGTTTAGGGTTGCATCCCAGGCTTTCATTTTTTCACAGTACATCCTCCCAGCGGCAGCTCGAGTGCGGCAGTCCACTTGAAAGCTGCGGCCGCAGCCTTCTCTTTCTGGCTTTAGGGTTTAGGGAAAAGGGTTTAGAGTTTAGTGTTTAGGGTATATAGCGTTTAGTGTTTAGGGTATAGGGTTTAGGGTTTACTGTTTAGGGTATAGGGTTTAGGATCACTGGTGCGTAGTAGGGAATGAGGAATGAGGGAAGATGCCATATAGAGATTACCCTACACCCTAAACACTAAAACCCCAATCCTTACTAACCACCAGCGACTTCTTGCAGGAGAGGGTTGCCAGGAGGAGCTGGTTGCTAACTGTTTCTTCGACCTGGATAAGCACTTACTTAGCTGGGCATACGCATGAGCTTCTGCATAGCTTATACAGGTTTTACGTGGGCGGTTTTGTCCGCGCCCTCCATTCGCAGTGATTTCTTCCGAAAAATGTTGAAGGGCATGGAAATCTGAGGCAGGGCTTAGGGTTTCGGGGTTTCGGGTTTAGGGATTTTTTCCCGGCTTCAGCAGCACAAGCTGGGGCTACCTCATCAAGAAGAGATTCGCCTTCACAGATGTTCACCCTAAACCCTACACCCCCTAAAGCCTAAACCCCTAAGCCCTAAACCGCAAACTCAATCTAGCAGGCTTTGAGACCTGGGAGCTGTTTTTCGCATTGAAAGAACGCTAATGCAAACCCATAATTAATACCCCCCTCCGTTTAAGGGCCTAAATATTAGGATCCCTATTATAATCCCTATCAAGGGGAGGATGATTTATTAACCCCTCCTTTTTAAGGACCTAAGTATGAGGATCCCTATAACAGTGCCTATTAAGGGAAGGGGGTTTATTAATCAGGGACCTGGGTTATCATGTAAGCTTTCTTGGTCACTCTGTTTCTTGTAGAGAGAGCGTGCGTTTGGGTCCCGAAATGAAAAGCAGACAGTCAGACAGTCAGAGAGTCAGACCCGAAAAGCAGACAGTCAGACAGTCAGACCCGAAAAGCCGACGATCAGACACACAGACAGTCAGACCCGAAAAGCAGACACTCAGACAGTCAGACCCGGCAGGCAGACAGTCAGACACTCAGACAGTCAGACCCGGCAGGCAGACAGTCAGACGATCAGACAGTCACACCCGGCACGCAGACAGTCAGACACTCAGACACTCAGACCTGGCGGGCAGACAGTCTGACGGTCTGACTGTCT